AGAGGACAAAGTTTGCTCTGAAGAGCAAATTGTTATATGCAATAAGCTTGCAAAGCTTAGCCTTTGGAAGTTTTTGGAACAATGCCACCCATCTTTGGCAATTTACTGCTGCCGTAGTTAGAAAGTGTTATTTGACACAACTGGAAAAATGCCTCCAAGGCTGTAGACCTCATCTTCACTAAATGAGTCTGAAATTTATTAAAATCATAGGATTATAGAATCATAGAACTGTTTGGGCACCTGTTCCAGAGTCTCACCACCCTCACAGAAAAGAATTTATTCCTAATGTCTAATTTAAATTTCCTCTCTTTCAGTTTTAAACTGTTACTGGTCATCCTATCACCACACTTCCTGATAAAAAGAGTCCCTCCCCATCTTTCCTGTAGCCCCCTTTAGGTGCTGGAAGGCTGCTATAAAGTCTTCACAAAGCCTTCTCTTCTCCAGGCTGAAAGAGCACCAACTCTCTCAGCTTGTCCTCATAGAGAAGGTGCCCCAGCCCCCTGATTATCTTTGAAACCCTCCTCTGAGCTCACTCAGATCCATGTCCTTTTTATGCTGGGGACCCCAGAGCTGAACACAATACTGCCCAGGGTCTCACAAGAGCAGAGGGGCAGAATCACCTCCCTCAGCCTGCTGGTCATGCTTCTTTTGATGCAGCCCAGGATGCAATTGCCTTTCTGGACTGTGAGGGCACATTGCTGCCTCATATTCAGTTTTTCATCCACCAACACCCTCAAGTCCTTCTTTGCAGGACTGCTATCAATCCATTCATCACCCACCCTGTACTTCTGCTTGGGATTGCACTTGGTCTTTTTGAACTTCATGAGGTTTGCATGGGCCTGCCTCTCAAGCCTGTCAAGGTCCTTGTGGATGACATCCCTTCCTTCCAGTGTGTTGACCACAGCACACTGCCTAATGTGACTGACAATCTTGCTGAGGGTGCACCCAATGAAGAATATGTGAGCTTAGTTCCAAGGCAAAAACTCATGGAATGCTCTGCAGTGGGGATCAGAGAGCTGAACAGCAGCAGTGAGGCTGGACAGAGCCTCTTTCCTGATTTGGTACTCACCACCCTTGCACTGGTGTAGTAAGTTTGGTTTTCTCTGACCAACCGAGCTTAATTTTGAAATTATGAATGGTTACAACTGCAGTGTTAGTACTGTGGTTTGCGTGAGTCAAGTGAGGTTGAATGCTCTCTCTGTGCTTGTTCAAATAGCTGAACTCAAGCAAGGCAGGCATTGATGTCTACCCACGTTCAGGTGCCATGGGGATGCTCAGTGATAAGCACAGCATGTACTGGTCAGGGTAACTGTATTGCAACTAGTGCTAGGGTGTGAATTGTGTCTACAAGCAGGTATTTGTGCATTTGGGTTTGTGGCAGTAGTAATTCTGCAGTAATCCCCCGTGATGAAAGTCCCTTTGGGGTGTCTGAGACCTTCCCTAACTCACTTCTGACTGGGGTGGTGTAGAGATAGCCCCTGTTGCCCAAGTTGTTGCCCAGACTTAGTTCCTTTTAGGGCTGGATCGTGGCATGGATCACTTATAAATCTCATATTAAAGAATGGATTTCAACGGAGAAGTGTGAGGTGAAAGAAAGCATTCAAAATGAGAGTAATGCTGCCCATTCAGCAGTGCTGTAGGCTAGCAGGAAGCTGAATGAATGTGTGTTGGCAGCGCCTCCAAAGGCATCTTTCTCCCTAGTGCTGTTAACAATGGGATTTTACCAGACTGAAGGAAAGAGCAAACGAAAGACCTGGTGCTCTCTCTTTTCTGTGCTTTCTCAGTTTGAAATCTTGCTATGCTATGAGAGAGATGAGGGACACTTTTCCATTACAGCAGCTATCTCCTCATGCCCTGTCACCTGAGCTATCTCATGCTCATGCAGTTTTAGGCTGCCATCAGTGCTCCTGATTTGAGTATTGATCATATCCCAGAACTAGGTTATTCTTCCCAAATGTACTTTATGTGTATGACCATGAATATATCCCAAAACCTCATTTCATTTCCCTTGGCTAAAGAAATAACACTAAATACAATGATGACTGATTCATGAATGAATCTTTATTAATTTTGGAGTTTTATTTCAAATGCTGTGTGGTATCGGGGTCTTTAAGCAAAATATTATCCATGCAAATACAATTGCAATGTAATGCTATTCATCTAATTCAAATTTCTTTTTTATGTAAAGACTGTTCTGTCCACCTCCCACCACTTCCCAAAGGTCCATGGTTTGTTGAAGAAAAGGCATTAGAAAGGTGGCTTTAATGATAAAGAGTCAATCACTTGATGGGCTGAAAATTATTGCGGTCACAGGGATTTGGCACAGGCAAGGTAACAGGGGTTAACAAATCAGAAATGAGGAAACTGCCTTGCCAAGGGTAAGCTGATAAACATTAGCATGTAAAGGGAAAGAAGACCAAATCCTGGAATTATTACTTGGGCTAAGGAAACACATGGGATAATCAGAGAAGGCATTTATAATTACTACTTTTCAGAAGAAATTTCTTCACTAGATTACTGGCAAATGGTAATTTTATGGTAATGACAAATTGCGGATGTATTCTTCAGAATCCTGGAAAACAGCTGGAATGGGAAAATTGCCCTGTTTAATCTCTTTCTGTTTAGAAATTTAGAGTCTCACAGTATTAGTTCTAGGACATGTACTGTTCACAGCAAGCCAAAAAAAAGCAATCCACACAAAACAGTGGCCTCAGCATTGGTTATTTCTCAGGTGAAGGAGCTAAGGAAGGGCACGGCCAGATCACAGCCATGTCTGCTGAGTGAGTGTTCACAGGGAGCAGAGGATAGGAAAAGGAGGACGAAAGACTTTCTGCTGCTATCCAACTGCTGGGATGTGCGGGTTTTTTGCTTTATTTAAAAGGACAGAGAGGAATTTTAAAAGAAATGGAGAAAGATAATCAAAGGCATAAAATGAGCAGAGAGAGTAAATAGAATAGCATTCTTCAGTTCCAAAAGAGATGTCATAGAGCAGGGTTGATAAAAGTCTATAAAATCGCTAAGAAGGTGGAAAAGGTGACCAGACAGTGATTATTCACTGTTTCCTACAGCAGAGGAACTGAGGGGAGTCAAAGGAAATTATCAGGCAGCAAATTTAAAATGAGTAAGAAATACTTTTTTCATGTAACAAAAGGATAGGTTGTGGAACTGAAAGCTGCTAGCTATTGTGGATTTATAAATGAGATCAGGAATTCATGGGAGATAGGTGTCTCAAAGGTTATTTTAAAAATGAGGTGTGGATACAACTTGTTGCTGTGGAATTGTCTAAGCTATAATGCTGACAACTGCTCCCTTTTGTGCCATGGCCCTAAACTTCTGCCAAAGACACGTAAAAGGGGCAGATAAATCTATGATGGTCCAACTAGTTCTGGCCCACCATGTCTTTTCCATGTTCTCATGTACACATAGGTTGTGGCATTCCAAAATATATTTTTCCTTTTGCTGTTTTTGACTTTGTCTAGATAGATTTCTTCAGCAGGTTTTTGTGTCTATCCTAGTGAGGACTGAGCTCCACAGATCAATGGACAAAGTTTGGGTCTCCGTACACATGAAAAATATTTGCGTGAGAGATCCAGTACTCTGGCACGAGTCCTGTATTCCCTCCTCTTTCTGTGCCCACAGTAAATTGCTGATGACTTCCACAAAGTAGAATAGAGCAGCTATACAGATATATATTCCTCAGAGGAAAAGATTATTGGAGGACATTAAATGAATGCATCTGAATTAGAGTGATTCAAAACACTTTCATTCCTTCATTTCTTCGCTCTGCAAGGAACAGGCCAGTGGCTAGCCATGGGCATGGGCGACTATGTGCAGGCCTTGTCTGTTGTGCTCCAGACTTGACATGTTGTCTGCTCTGTCCATGTGCCAAACAGTACGGACACATAGGCGTCTGCAGAGATTCTCCATGCAGGACTCCTGCTTCTGCTTCAGAAAGGCCTAATGTCCTGAAATCCTGGTCAAATAAGCTGTCCTGGGTGATGCTGAAGAGGAAACAGGATCCAAAATATCCTTAATCTCACTTGTCTGCCATTAAGTTCATGCCTCAAAAAAGTGTAATGCACAAGGATACAAGAGAAAGTGCCTTGGCAAGTGCAGTGATTCCTGAGGCTTAGTAATCTGCTCAGTGCTTAGGGATAGCTGGAAGCTGTGCTGTAGTTAATATTATAATTGAGTCATTTAAAGTTTCCTTCCTTTCAGCTGGAGGATTTCTAGCTGGAGTTCTGATTTCAGACTGTCATGTCAATCTGATTATAAATTTTAGTTACACCTTTTCTACTCTAATGTTATCTGTTTCTCCTGTATTTAGCCCTGTATTCAAGATAGAGAGATAGGAATCAGACAGATGCATGCTACAGATTTTTAATTTGACTGTGTTACTGCCTTCTCTAAAAATTCAAGCAAGACTGTCTCTGTGCTACTTCTCAGTTTCACACTGCTTGTGGATGAAATACCTGGGCAGGAAGAGCTCACAGAGACCACTATGTACTTGCACTGAGATAGTAGAGAAGGACCCAGGAAGCCGTGAGCTTTTCTTTCATGTGTCCATAATGCCATAGCAAAAGTGGTGACTTTTCTATCAGGGTTATTTTAATGTCTTTCAGAAACTTACTTCTAAATCTTCACAGCTGTAATTCTTTCGTATTTGGATAAATTTCCTCTCTAAAATTTGCTGCTATCTACCCTATGTCAATGATTTCAAACACCCCTGAGACTGGCAGGTGTGGAGTGACCAGCAGAGCAAGGTGATGATTGCCTTTTCTACACCTACAAATCGCAATTAAGAACTTTAAAAAAGAACTTTTAAAAAGAGTTACACCACATTAGCTGTGTCAGCTGTGGAACACAGCAAAGCTACAGTTGTTCCCATTGGAGCGTGTTCACCCTTGGAATAGTGTTCCCAGAAGTGCTGTTACATGAGGTTTTCCCTTCCATCTGGGAGCAGTAACTCCTCTTTCAAACAGCTTTAGGCAGCGAGCTGAATGCATGCAGGACCTGCATCATCTCTGCTGCCTCTCTGGAGCCCCATCTGTCCAGGTAACAGTCTCTTTTTTGGTCTTATTCTCCTAGGGATATCTATGCCTATTCCAGTCATTGGTTTGCAGGATGACTCCAGAGTGTTCATAAATGGGACCTGTGTCCTCAACGATGAGAACTTTGTCCTCATTGGATCGTTCATGGCGTTCTTCATCCCTCTCATCATCATGGTGATCACATACTGCTTGACTGTTCAGGTGCTGCAGAGACAGGCAACGGTGTTCATGTGTGGAGAGGTGCCCAAGCAGAGGAGGAGCAGCGTAAACTGCCTCAAGAAGGAAAACAACACAGAGAACATTTCAATGCTTCACAATCACGAGGGGGCATCTCACTTGAACTCTCCTGTGAATAAAGAAGCAGTGCTTTTTCGGAAAGGAACTATGCAGTCCATCAACAATGAACGAAGAGCCTCCAAGGTCCTGGGCATTGTCTTCTTTTTGTTCCTCATCATGTGGTGCCCATTTTTCATCACTAATGTCATGTCTGTCCTTTGCAAGGAAGCCTGTGATAAAGACCTTTTGAGTGAACTCCTTGATGTCTTTGTTTGGGTGGGATATGTTTGCTCTGGGATTAATCCTCTCGTGTACACACTCTTCAATAAAACATACCGCAGGGCTTTTTCCAATTACATCCGTTGCCAGTACAAGACCAGTAAAAAATCAGCACTGCGGCAGAATCAGTGTCTGAATGTTGCTTCAACAGCTTTATATGGGAAAGATCTGACTTTAACTAGTTATCGAAATGGCAATGAACTCACTAGCATGGAACTAGATGAAGTTGAGGAGGGCCTTGCAATGCAACCAGGGACTTCAGAGGTCTCCATAAACAGCTGTAATGTTGTAAGCGAAAGAGTGAGCTGTGTGTAAAGGTGGCTCTCCAGCCTTTCGCTACGGTGTATCTGTAGCCAAAATATATTGTGTAAAAATGTAAGTGTCGGTCAAAGGATGATGTAAATATTGCGTTCTGAACAAAGCTTTTTTCTTTTTTTTTTTAAGAAAAGAGTTGTCTTTGCAGTCCAGTACTTAAGATCATATATATTAATATACTGCAGTGAAGTTTAAGGTTCTATATTTACTGTTAATACTAGATCAGAACTATTAGTTACTTTGCATATGTCATGGGCAAAATGTTTGAATTCTTCTTCCAGTGCATGAACAAAAATGCTGAATATTTATCTCAGGTGGCATTTGCTGGAGTCCAGAATGGCACGTTAATAGTTATATATCAAATACATGCTATTAGACTTGGTCAGTATAACTTTCTTTTTCAAGTTGACAGTAAATATATACTTTAAATCCTCACCCCTATTTGTGCCGTGTAACGACTGTACAGAAACCTGGCAGAAAGACATCATGTAAGCATAGCGACTGTGCGGGCCCCTGACCAGACACGTCCTGTTACAGGTAGTGGCTCACTGCTGTACTGGGCAGCCTTGCACTTCAAGGGACCTCTGTTAAATTTTCACTCCCTCTCCAATCCTGCTGTTTTCCTTCTGTTTCCTAGGGGACTCTGCTTCCCTTGAGAAAGGTGGGGAATGCAGTTCTGGTGTGGCTTTGCGAACCTGGCTGGGACCATGAGAAACAGAAGCATGAGAAATAGAGTGAGCCCCAGCTATCTGCTTCAACCATTTTATAAATGGAGGGCCTCAGATTTATGAAAATCCCTCCTTTGATCTTACAGATAATCAGCTTTGGGATGGAGCAAGCTGTGCTCAGTGTGAATGGCGCTGCTGTCATAGACTGCTTGGATGATCAGGGTTTTGGCTGACCCGGAGAAGAGTGCTCTGGCTTTGTAAGAGCTCTTGTCTTCTTGGTCCTCACATCCATTTATTTCACAGCTTGTTTAGCATTTGCTTTTATTTTTCATATTCCCAGGGGTTGCAGTGCTGGTGACAAAACACTGCTTTAGGTGTAGAAGCAAAGCAGCTGCGCACGTGGTGCCGGTCAGGGTCAGGCTGTGGGGTGCAGGATACACCTCCCTGGGGGTTGCTCAGAGATAGGTGTAAACAAGGGTCTCTGGTAATTTCTCCTGTCTCTGGAGGGGGTGAGCTAGACAAAGTATGTGATTAGAATAATTTGCTGGTGAAATGGCTGAAAATCAGACGATGATCAGAGACAGGAAGGAAGCAGACCTGGAGCTAGCCTACATGGAAGATTATTCTGGATTAACTTTTAAATTTGATTTATTCTATTTCATTCAAAATGTAAATTATAGCATATCATATTAACATCACTTACACCTAATGAAAGCATTCACACTGGGATTCAATGTAGTTTAAGTAATCTACTTTTAATTCACACCATGTATAATTTGAATTAATTTTCCTCTGTGTTTCTGTGTAGACAAACTCTACAAGGCATCGTGCCTTTCTGGCACTGTGCCTCAGAGGTTATGCCTCTCATGCAATTTTCCTTGTGTAGAGTATTGTCTAACCCTGAGGTTTTTACATCTTCATCAACTAATACATAAATGCTGCAGTGCCGATCTGGCATGGATGCATTTAACATTACTGACAGCCTCTAGCTATAAAAAATCTTCAGAACAGAAAGGCTTACACTAGATGTGGATAAATTACATTTTACTAACATGAACTGCTTATACTCTAAGCTTGGCATGTTCATCCCACCGATATTAACTTGTAGAAGAAATGGAAAATTCTACTAGTGCTTTAGTATAATACTGTGCTGTTGCATTGCTGTGTACAGCAACAACCTCGCTGAGGCCATGATTGAAATACAAGATATGGGTTTGCATCTGCTGCTGGGTTGCTCCCAGCTTGATGCTGCGGAGTTGATGGTCCTCTCTTCTCCTTCATCCCCTCCCAGGAAAAATCCATAGTACTTCCATGCAGGCAGGCAAGGAAGCCCCCTGTGTGGAGCAGAACTTACTGCTTTCAAAAGGCAGTAGAGATGCACCATGCACCAGCCTCTTGATTCCACCGTGGACTTGAATGCTTGCACATCCACTTGCCACTCCAAAAAGGTCTGGGAACCGGTAGGAAAAGGACTGGCCAGAGACACAAACTTGTGCCTTCAGTGACTGCCCTTTGCTGAGTCAGATTTGAATTAGAAAGATCACATTCCTTTTATGCTCTTTTTTTCCTTGGGTGAATTCACAGCACATCTTTTCCAAACAGGTATATGTGTGTGTATGTATATATATATATATCTCCCTATATATCTATGTGTGTGAGTGCATACATATATATATACATATATATATGCATGTACATGTATTTAAAAGCCAACTACAGACTTTGAAAGCGTTTAGCAATAAGTTGAATTACAGTAACTTCTACCAATGTGTGAATAGGTCATATGTGAATAGCTCATTTTCCACAGCATCCTCAAAGTCAGTGTAAGTCCACACTCAGGCATTTTCTTCGCATAGGAGTCTTCATGTCTTATCCTTGCCAGTTCTGTTGTATGGACAAAAAGGGAACCTACTATATTTGGATGTAAATAATGGGAACTAAATAGAGAATTTACAGAATTTTTATAAATGTTTTTTAAAAATTCAGCATCAGAACTGTAAATATGTCGACTGTGGCTATTCAGCTGGATGTGTTCTGATGGACATCACTTGTTTAGATAAACAGACAAGGGAACTGTCTTATAGCACCTGTGCTCTCTCCCAGCCAGCAGGTGATAACATTTTTGTGAATAGTTAAATACTGTCACTTACCCAAATTCCTTTGGGTCATTCGCATCAGGGTTTTGTGATGCTGCTATTAATTTATTAAAGCAAGTTTGTTGGTTTAATCACTCTTCACTTTTCTCATGGACTGTCAGAAAATAAATAAATGAACATGCCCTCTCTTTCATCTGTTCCCAGTTAAAATTTTTCCTGAGTGAAAAACATGTCCTGACCAAAAAACAAAACTACAAAAAAATGAAGATAGGGATAACTTTCTCCTCCCACGCTTGAGGTATGGTCTACAACTGTTTAATCATAGAAGTTAGTGTTAGCAGATATTCCAAGATTTGCAACCCGAAAACTTGTTAAATATGAAGATGATGATAAACTATTCCCCCTCTTCTCCTTGCTTCCTCCAGGAATAACTGTTAAAAATCAATTTTATTTTAAATTACCTCAATTTGAAGAATGAATTTAGTTCTCTGCAACTTAACCAAAGTCAGGTTGTCCCCACAGCAGCTTTGCTTCTCCTGAGCTGTAGTCATTAACCATGGTGATGCCACAAGAAACCCTGTCCTGGGGTTACTGGTGGGAGTGCCCACTGGAAGTTTGTGTGAGTCCTCAAACCTTGGCTCAGGTATGGTTTTGACTTATGAACAGTGTGTGTGGTGGTGTTCTGTTCTGAGTTTAGACTCAACAAGTCAAAACAGTTCCTTGGAAATGGTGCTCCAGGCTGAAATGTGTTAGTTGCTGTATTTCCCAAACCAGATTTGGGCAAGACTGAGTGTGCACGCAGAGGCTCCAACCCAGCAAACAGACTACTCAGTTTGACCGCACCAGGGAGCCTTCCTGAGCTGTAGGTGTTAACAGCCCTCCCCAGCAGAGGCCAGAAGCAAGGCTGGTCACGTTTGCTCAGGTACAAAGCCTTGTGGCTGGGCAACCTGGCTTCCAGACATGAGCTGGCCCATCTGCATCTGCAATATGTTGCTCCACACAGCCAAGTCTGGGGCATAGTATCCATGGAGTCAGTCGTGGTGGGTTTGGGGACCTCTGAGGGACTTAGAGGCAGTCATTTGAGGACAAGGGCCTGCTCCTTCAGTGCTGTGCTCTCTGAACATAAGAGCAGCTACCCAGAGACTGTGGCATTTGGGAGGCAATATAGTTCAGAACCAACACTGAGGAGCCTCAAGGCACTCCACCTCAGCATGGCTCTCCTTGTTTTAATGACTTGTGAGTCAGCAATGGTTTTTATCTGAGTGATAATTTAAAGATGCTAATATTAAGCGATGTACAAGTAGTCAGTGTGAACAATGTGGTTAGTGCCTTTTTCTCTACAGAAACACTCATGTCAACCATTGTGCCTTCCTTCTGAACAGCCCTACAAAAAGGTTCATCACTGGTGTGAAGCATGGCCAGTGCTCTTCCCTTCCAAGTCTGCAGGCTGACTGGAGTTATCTGATGTGCTGGAGCCCAGAAGGGTCCTGGATGTAAAGACCCAGATTCTAAAGGAAAAACGTATTTTAAAGAATAAAAGCAAAAACAGAAGCAGCTGTTCAGAAATATTTTTTAGCTTTGAGCTAATGAAGACTGTCTGATATTCCTGCAGACAAATTATGCTAATCTGGCATTCTAAAAGCAGCATCCATCATGTGATAAAGATGCAGATGTCTCTTGGATGGGTTTCCTCCCTGGGTCACAGTATCGTTAACACAGCTACATGCCAAGCCAAGAACTGGAGTTGGCTTTGTCTCCATTTCAAACTGAGATAGAAAAGGCATTGGAAGCTTTTTCCTGGGAAAAAGCATACAAAGACCGCCAAGCCTTGGGCAGGTGCAGCAGAAAAGGAGAGATGGACAGATGTATGCCCATGTCTGCACCCGTGAACACACATATCCCAGAGTCCCCAGGGAGCAACAGGGCAAGTCATCACACTTCAGTCTTCCCTGGAAAAAATGGGAATAGCTGAACAGCTGGGGAGGAAATCTGTGATGGGGAGATCAAATGCAGCTGTAGGTGTCACTGAAATGTGGGCTATTACAGTGCTAATGTAATGGTGGGGGTGCATGTAACAAAAAATGCTTTTATTTTTTCATTTTAGTCTGTAAATTGTTATTGACTGTTCCGCCTCTTGCTCATTTTTCTTTAAGTCTCAGGTCTTCTGCTTGTTTTCTTTTACCCATACTGAAACTTGTGCTCTGAAGCTGTCAGAAGTCGACAAAATATCTGTGTGTTTTATCATTCCCTTTCGGTTGTGCAGGGGTGCTGCAATCCCATAACAACATTGAGATGGAGAGTCTTCAGGTGAGTGATTTTAGTCTCATATATAGACACAGAAAATCAGCACAGCAAGGCACACTTGCCAATTAAAGAACCACACGAGAAGATCTTTAACAAACACTAAAGTACATGCGCTACACACTGAAAACATTTGCTTAAAATTGTCCTAAATCATGGGTTCTGCTGATGGCAGGAGAGTGTGTCAGCACACGGGGAAGGAGTCCGGCAGGGCAGGGTGCCCTGAGCTGCACGCTACTCCCAGCAGCCCCCCTGTGCGCTCCCTCTGGGAGGGTGCTTGTTTTAGGACCTGACACAACATGTCCTGGCACGCTGCCCGGCAGGATTTACTCCACTCTGTACTGAGCAGTGCAACTGCAGAA